GGATCACCTGCCGGGGCGGGGCCCAATCTCAGCCCCTCTTTGCTGTGGCCGAGGACGGATCGTCGTTCCGGTTTCCTCGTGTGATGATGGTGGGCGGTGGTGTTGTGAGCTCATGATAGTTCATTGCTGTGTCCTGATGGTGCTGATGGCAGTCACAGCTCAGTGACAGCCATGAGAACCGAGACAAAGAAGGTGCTGGTTTCCCTGGCCCTTGCTGCATGCATCGGGGGACTGGGGCGAGGAAGGGAGTGGGGCCACGTGGGACCTTGGGGCCTCATGCTTGTCTGTTGAGCTCTGAGCCCTCGGCTCCTGGGTGTGCTCAGCCACGGTCCCAGGTGTGTTCCCAAACCAGAGTGGGGTGTGAGACTGTCCTGAGCCCTCACTGCTGCGGGTGCCTAGCTTGGTGGGGGCCTCGCTGCCTGGGACAGCTGCGACGGTGCCTGTGTCCCTTCCCGCAGGACGGGAGAGCCGCGTCGGCCGTGGTGGTCTGCTCCTTCCTGTGCTTCTGCCGCCTCTTCAGCACCGCCGAGGCCGCCGTGTACATGTTCAGCATGAAGCGGTGCCCGCCGGGCATCTGGCCGTCCCACAAGAGGTACGTGCATATGCACCTTACCGTACTGGGGGCAGACTCACCACAGCTGGTCTCCTGGCAGGCACAGGGCCATGGCCATGAGCACGGCCAAGCAGCAGCGTGGGAAGATGAGTAGTAGAAACGCTTCTAGTGGGGGAACTCCCTGGGAGGAGCACTGTCACCCTACAGCCAGCTGCCCTGGACGGCACTCGATGTCGTGTGTGCCCCTACATGGGCCCCGCAATATACGCTCATTGTCATGAGTGCCCCACACAGTCCCTGTGATGTACGCTGAGGGTCAGGTGTGTGCCCCACACGGGCCCCGCGATGTGCACTTAAACTTGAGTGTGCTCCATACAGGCCCTGTGGCATGCACCCACTGTCGTGTATGCCTCACATGAGCCCCGAGATACACACTCGGTGTCATGTGTGCCCCACACAGTCCCTGTGACGTGCACTCAGGGTCAGGTGTGTGCCCCACACAGGCCCCACCATGTGCACTCGATCTTGTGTGTGTTCCAAATAGGCCCCATGACGTGCACTCACTGTCGTGTGGGCCCACGTGAGCCCCACGATACACGCTCGATGTAACGTGTACCCCACATGAGCCCTGTGACATGCTCTCACTGTCCTGGGCACCCCCACACGAGGCCTACAGGTCTTGACAAGGCATTGTTTGGGTAGAGGAGCCTGAGGTCAAACACAGTGAGGGGCCGGGAGTTAAACCGTGCTAGGACTCTGGTAGCATAGTGCCTAAAGCACTTGACTTCTAACCAGAAGGCCAGGGGTTCAAACCCACCAGCCACTCCTTGGAAAGAAGGTTGGGCAATCTACTTCTGTAGGGATACTGCCTCGGAAACCCAAGGAGGGGTCACTACGAGTCGGGTCCGACTCTATGGCACACAACAACAACAGAAACAACAGGACTCCTGAGCCCGTGGTGGCCGGCAGTCCGTGAAGCACTGATTGGTGCACCCACTGATTCTGGCCAGGGGGCCCGGTCTGATCCCAGCATGACCACTTACTCTCTAGACTTGGGGTGGCCCCTCAACAGAAGTGAGTACCTGCTAACAGTACGGTCGCTATGGTCAGGAGCTCTGATGCAAACAAAGGCTAGATCATCCTCGTGATGAGTCACATCATGGGCCCTGCGAAACTCTGACTTTCTCTTGCTCCATGTCAGCCAGAGTTGGTTTGTTTACTCGGCGGTTACAACGAAGAGATTCCTTGGGGCTGCAGCCAGGCTACCCCACCCCCACATCACCTAGCACCGAGGCCACTCTTCACCAAGTGCTGTGATCCCCACATCCACTCTAGATCACTTATTTCCAGTCCCTGGCAGTAAGGGTGACCTTTCTGAGGTTCAGATATGAGGAGTCATATCTGTTCTCCATGTGCTGGGTCTGGATGAGGCCTCAGGGGTGGGGCTGGAGTCCTTCTGAAGGAATGTGAGCGTGGGTGGAGCCAAAGCTGATGTGGATGCCACCTCCTCCACCCCACCCCACCCCACCCACCCCTGTTGGGGAGAGAAAGATGAGTTACCTAAGCAGAGGAAAGAAAGACCCAAGTGACCAGCACCAGGAACAAAAGAGGTGATGTGACTGCAGATCCCACAGACGTAAAGGGTGACAAAGGCATTAGGTGAGCAACTCTGGACTCATAAATTCAACAGTGCAGATGACAGAGAGACTCATTCCCGAGACACACAATGCCAGCCCTGAGCTCTGTTGCAAGTGTACAGCCTGATCACCTCCTGCATGTAATGTCGCGGTGGTGATTAAAAGCCCTCCCGAACCGGAAACCCCAGGTCCTGATGGTGTCACAGGTGAATTCTGCCAAACGTTTAAGGGAGGCACTCAGATTCTCCACACTGGCTTCCAGAAAATAGAAGGGTGCACACGCTTCCAAAGCAAGTGCAGACATGCTTCTCCAGGCCATTTGTTCTCGTTCCCTAGTACTGCTCCGAGAAGAATATACCACAAATAGGATGGCTTGAACAAACAGGAGTTTATTCTTACAATTTGGAGGATTTAAGTCCAAGTTCAAAGTGCCAGGTTCTAGGGGCTGGGTGAAAGGCCCTCAGCCTTGGGCTTCATTTCTGCTTCCTGCTCCCAGCCCACTAAAGGTGGAGGCTTTTCTTCACTCACACAGCTGCTGGCTGCTAAGACTAACAAGCCCAAGGTTGACAAATAGGCACTGTCCCCATGTTACCAAAC